CCCCAAAACCCCAAAACCCCAAAACCCCTCAAAAGAGTTTAATAATAGAATAATTTAATTATGTTAATTAGATATAATTTGTTCTTTAGAAGGAGTATTTCATTCTGTCCCTGAGGCTTCTTCTTCAGCTCTTTTCTCGGTCTGGGATCAACTCTCTGCTACTCTTGATTTAGAATTAAGAGCCCTTGCGTGCCTTTGTTCGAATTCTCGTGCTAATTCTATCATTTTCTGGTTAAAATCAAGTGTCAATTTCCTGACATGCTTCTTATAGGTAGTAGCTAGCGCCTTCATCCGTACTAATTTTCTCAGAATAATGTAATTGTGTTTATAAAAATGGAAATGATTCTCGACAACATATTTCACATCGAACTCTAGAATATCTTTAAGGATATATTTGTTGACTCCTCCTCTGCCGAGCGAGTCTCTGACTATTATAAGGGCTTCCTGAAATTTTTGCATTTTTCTGAGAGCAATTCAGTGTTCTTCCTTCTCCTTCCTGGCCGTTTCATTCTCTTCTTCTTTTTCTTTATCATTTTTCTCTATTTGGCCTGACCCTTTATCAACTTTCTCTTCAGGTTTTTCTTCTGAAGGTTTGAGATCATTAATTTTACTAACCAATTGATCCTTAGATGTCATATTAGCTAAAGATAGGAGACTAGATTTAATATCCTTTTTGAGGAGTCCTGCAAACTTCTCCTTATTTTCCTCCTTAATGTTCTCAGTGTCGTCTTGGGCAGCAGAGTTTTCTTCTTTCGAGACCACCCATCCACTTGGAGTTGGGGTGGGATCTTCTTTAAACTCAGGGACGTCCCAGTCGCCTTGGCCCTCAGCTGCTACTGCTTCATCCCAGTCATTTTCCTTTTTCTCTTCTGGCGCCTTCTCTGGCTCTGTGGGCTCTGGCTTGGCTTCTGGTTCTTTAGGCTCCTCTGGTTTTTCTTCAGCCTTTTCTTGGGCTTTCACTTCAATCTCTTTGATTGCTTTCGCCTTCAGTTCACTGAGAGAAACAGGCCTTTTGAAGTGAGTTGGTGGCCTGATGTGGATATTGATGGATTCTTCAGCCTTCATGGAGCTCTTGAGCATTTCTAATGAGTTTGTGAACGTTGAAAGCTCTTTGATTTCACCCTCATCTCGACATTCAGGGTCTCTGATTTTATTCAAAATCCTGCTGAGAAGGGATTCTGCATGCTGAGCATCAAATTTTTTGTAAAACCGGATTGTGGTGTTATTTCTACAGAGATCAATCCTTTTGAGAGCTCAGACCAAGCAGACGTAGTTTATAGGATCTGCTTCGTGGTTAGGATCAATGAGGTTCATTGAATGTACCCAGTAGTTTAGTATCTCCATGCCACATTTTTCACAGTTGATGATGTTTGAATTCTCTGGCTCTTGGCTAAAGAGGTCATCCTTCTCCTTCTCGGTGATCTCTTTGTTCGTAAAGAAATAATATTTCTTAATTCTATTGGCAAATTGCTCTTCTTCAGTAAACCTAGATTTGAGATTTTGATAAATGAGTTCAAGAGTGGGCTTATCAAAATCATTAATAGATTTATTCACTCAATCCATGACTAGTGTGTACCAAGAGATTTGATTGTTCATAGCGTGCTTTTTTACCTCCAGGGCCCTTTCAAATCAAGCCTTGATCTGCTGAAAATCTTTGGAGATGAAGTTCCAGCTTGTCATAGTAAGGTAACCATGAGACTGGGCCATAATGAGCGATCCTGCACCTGCTGAAAACAAGTCTCCTTCTCTCTGAATAACTGTGTATGTGGGTATATGGTGAGCAAGCAGGAGATATTTGTAGATACAGAGAGATCCTTCCATTTTGCTGAAGTCAGTAGAATAAACCTCATATATTACCTTCTCTAGTTTGGGGATGTCCTCTTGAGCAATAACTACCCATTCCATCTCTGCTGGACCATGGTTGATAGAATAAAATTTTGCTGCATGAGGAGCTATGTATGCTCCCATCCATGAATTTTTCATGTAGATTGACATTGAAGGAAGGGTGACACCGAAAATGTTCTGTCTATGCATTTTGAGCATATTTTTGTTGGAGAAAAAGTTAATCTCTTCTGGTATTTTATTGATAAGGTCATTGATTAAAACCCTACTGATTGCAATATTCAAATCAAACCCACAGTGCAAGATAGTGTTATCTTCCTGAACCTGGTCATCTTTTGTGGGTTTTATGACTGGGTCTGCTATTTTCATCAAGAATTGTTGCAAAGGTATGATGCCATTTGATTCAGTTCTGCTCATGACTCCACCTCTGAATGACATTTGGCTTCATACTCTGATCATTTCGTACTTAAATAGCGGATACAAACTTTCTAGATGGTAAAATTCCTTAGTTAAGCCTACACTATGCTCAAAGCTACGAACCACAGCTGCTTCTGTCTCAACAAGCAACCTTAACTGGACTTTCTTGATCTCCTTAAGAGGGCTTAAGAAGAAATAAGAAACTTCTAAAAGATATTGGGCATGAACATCTTGAATCATAACCTTATCTACATCTCTGGATACTCTTTGGAAGAACTCCTGGTCTTTAATAATATCATAGACGAAAAAGAATAGTCTATAATCATCAATAGCATCTTTATAGAAGGGATATCCAACTTTATCAGCAACCTGCTCCCATAGGTTATTTCAGAAGACAAAATTGGCCCCACCAGCTTTTTGGACTATTTTGTGAAGTCTTCACAAACTGCGTGTATTCTCGTTAAAATAGGTTATATCATCTTCACTAAGTGTTCTGCTGTTGAGAGGTTCATAATCAACATTTTCAAGGAAGGTACTCTCATACTCCCTTTTAAAATTCTCAACCTCTTCAGGTTTAATATCTATGAAATCTTCTGTAATCTCTATACTGCTCTTCCTCAAGCCAGAGGGGTCATAAAATTTTTGAATAGCTTCATGGGAGTTATCGATGAGCTTTTCTCTTTCTTTCTTCGCTGCTTTCCTTCCTCTCTTCCTTGGTTTTTCAAATGTCATCTCAGGGGGGACATACTCATCAGAATCGTTCCCATTCGACGCATAACTTACATAATCACTATCACTTGCTACAAAATCCATTGATGTTTTTTTTTGATGTTTTTGACCCACCTAGCTTTAAGCCTTAGCTAATTTTTTAAGATTTCAGTACTATTTCTGATTTTTCAGGCAAATTTAGCTTAAATTTTCAGATTTTGGCCTAAACGAGTTTGACAGTTTATGTAACACGCAGAGATATGGAGCAAGTCTGCTGGGCAAATTTAGTAAGGGAAGATTTTGAAGTGCGGAGAATTGAGAATTTGGGACTAAGACAGTGGAATATGGGGGTTTGGGAAATATTGGATCTGAATGTTTTTGACTAACATTGCTAAATTTTGAGTTTTTACAGGGGTTTTGGGGTTTTGGGGTTTTGGGG